CCCCACATTCCCAGCACCCCAATTCCTTTGGATCCTGGGGGATTTATCCCATTTTTTGGGGTGGTTTCACCCCGGGAGCAGCAGCATCCCCGCCATCACCCCATTCCTGCTGCTCCTGCTCCAGGGGCTTCCCGGGGTTCTTGGGGGTCCCAGGAATGCTCCAGCAGCCCAGAATTCCAGGGAATTCCAGCCTAGTCTTCCCCCATTCCCAGCACCCCAATTCCTTTGGATCCTGTGGGATTTATCCCATTTTTTGGGGTGGTTTCCCCCCTGGAGCAGCAGCGTCCCAAGAATTGGCCCCTTCCCAGGCTGCTCCTCCTCCAGGGGCTTCCCGGGGATCCTGGAGGTCCCAGAAATGCTCCAGCAGCCCAGAATTCCAGGGAATTCCAGCCTGGTCCCCCCACATTCCCAGCACCCCAATTCCCAGTGTTCCTGTGGGATTTATCCCATTTTTTGAGTGGTTTCCCCCCAGGAGCAGCAGCGTCCCAAGATTTGGCTCCTTCCTAGGCTGCTCCTCCTCCAGGGGGTTCCCGGGGTTTCTAGAGGTCCCAGAAATGTTCCAGTAGCCCAAAATTCCAGGGAATTCCACCTGGGCAATTCCTGCCTGGTCCCCCCCATTCCCAGCACCCCAATTTCCTTGGATCCTGTGGGATTTATCCCTGGTTTTGGGGTGGTTTCCCCCCGGGAGCAGCAGCGTCCCCACCATCACCCCATTCCCGGTGCTCCTGCCCCAGGGGCTTCCTAGAGTTTCTGGGGTCCCAGAAATCCTCCAGCAGCCCAGAATTCCAGGGAATTCCAGCCTAGTCCCCCCCACATTCCCAGCACCCCAATTCCCAGTGTTCCTGTGGGATTTACCCGTGTTTTTGGGGTGGTTTCACCCCAGGAGCAGCAGCGTCCCAGGAATTGGCCCCTCCCGGGGTACTCCTCTTCCAGAGGTTTCCTGGGATTTCTGGAGGTCCCAGAAATGCTCCAGCAGCCCAGAATTCCAGGGAATTCCTGCCTGGTCTCCCCCCATTCCCAGCACCCCAATTCCCAGTGTTCCTGTGGGATTTATTCCCATTTTTGGGGTGGTTTCCCCCCTGGAGCAGCAGCATCCCAGGAATCAAACCCTTCCCAGGCTGCTCCTGCTCCGGGGGCTTCCCGGGGTTCCTGAGGGTCCCAGAAATCCTCCAGCAACCCAGAATTCCAGGGAATTCCAGCCTAGTCCCCCCACATTCCCAGCACCCCAATTCCATGGGATCCTGAGGGATTTATCCCATTTTTTGGGGTGGTTTCACCCCGGGAGCAGCAGCGTCCCCACCATAACCCCATTCCTGGTGCTCCTGCTCCAGGGGGTTCCTGGAGG